TATATAAACTCAGCTTCTGAAGTGGCTAAGGCGAGGAGGCCTCAAGCTAGTCTATTGGGCACCTTGACAACATAGACGTGTATTTTCAAAAATGATTTTTGGAGCTGGGGAGATGGTTCAATGAGTTTAGTGGTTGCTATACAGGCACGCGGGCTTGAGTTTGGGTCCTCAGCATCTCTGCAAACAGCTGGGTTTCGTGGTGCATGCCTACAACTGCAGCGCGGGGGCGATTGGAGACAGGAGGATCTGAGGGGCTTGCTGGCCCACCAGTTTAGCCAGATGGTCAGCTCCAGGTTCAGTGAGATAGCCTGTCCCCAAATAAGGTGGAGAGCGAGAGAAGAAAACACCAAGCATTGACCTCTGGCCTCTACACCATGCACACACAGATGTACCTCACACATCTGCACACATACGCCTAACCCCAAAATCATTTTCCAAGTGCTACATTAGACTCAAACTTTCATGTCTTGCTTTCACTTGCAATCAGCTAACCACTTTCCCACCTTCCTTGATTCAAAACTCTTGTTATTAAACCTTTAAAATTCTACCACACACCACATCCAGGCAGCATATTGGCTGTAATTTGGTTTTAGGATTTTGGGAATTGGTTTATGACTGCCACTATGATTTGTTTAGAATATTCCAATTATGTTTGAACACTGTGTAAGGTGCTGTTATGGTTGGAGCGATCTTCGTTTGTTATGTTGGCTGACAGGGTTGGTCAGGCTTTCTAGATCTTCACTGAATGAAGGCTGGAAATTTTTGCTCATCATTTCTTCATACATTTTTAGGTCTTCCTCACACTTTTCATTCTGATTCTCTAACACTTATTTTTATTTTGGCTTAGTAGTTTCACTGTTACCTGTTCATCTTTGCTGATGTTTTATTCTTTGATGTCTCGGGTATTAATCCTACCCGGGACACTTTCCATCTCCCTGTAGTCTTATCATTGAGAGGACTGTGTCTTTTTATTATCTCTGAGCAGCTCATGCTTCTTCAGCCTTCTTGAATATGAAACATTCATATCTGTCACGTTCTCTAATTCTATCTATATCACTTCTGGATTTGTTTCTCTTTGTTATTTTCCTGCTTCTGTGTACAACCAGGCAGTTTTGGTTCTGTGACATTCTGAATTTTAAATCTTTGGGTTATGATTGATAAGCATGTGTATGTATAGATAATATAAAAACACAGACATATATTTATAAGTAAATATTTTTGAGATTTGTGCTGGGACATAACCAAGTTATTTGAAGGCACTTTTTTTTCTGTTTTTTTTTTTTTTTTTTTTTTTTTTTTTTTTTTTTTTTTTTTTTTTTGTTGTTGTTGTTGTTTGAGACAAGGTTTCTCTATGTAATCTTGGCTGTCCCAGACTTGCTTTGTAGGCCATGCTGGCCGCCTCCTCACAGCGATCTGCCTGCCTCTGCCTCCCTGAGTGCTGAGATTACAGGCGTGCACCACCTCACCCGCCGCTTTTATCTTTTCAAGGTTTGTTTTTAAGTTTAGGTAGGAGCATCTGAGCTTTCAGAGCTAATCTGATCCCACACTATTCAGTCATCTTCCATGGTACATGCAGGAGCTGCAGCTACTACTGGGCTGCTGTGCTCTTGCTGAGGAGACCAAAAACTCCCAGGCAGAGTGAGTGACGGGGTAACTGATTCATCCTCTCCTTTCTAGTTCTCAGCTTGGCATGGGTACTTCTGCAGGCATCAGCTGCTCATACTGAAGGCTTGAGAACCTCTACCCAGCAGCAGAGCTTTATGCTCTGCAGTGTTGTTTTTGTTTTGTTTTGTTTTGCTATGGCTTCCTCACACTCTCAGTTGTCAACTGAAGGAGACTGTAGAGTCTGAGGGTTCCTTGCCTGTGGAGAGGCCTCTTCAGAGAAGAACTGGCAGTTTTAGGGCTGCCATTTCTCTGTTCGTGGAGAGGCCTATCGTAAGTGTTTCATTCCCAGGGACAAACATTTTGTTGTTACTTAATCTTATGGCCTCTGTATTTTTAGAGTATTTTGCCTGCATGTATGGACACACACTCATGTGCATGCCTGGTGCCCACAGAAGTCAGAGGGTGTCAGAGGCCTTGGCACTGGATTTACAGATGATTGTGAGATATGACACAAGTGTTATCAACTGAACTGGGGGCTCTCTGGAAGAGCAGCAAATGCTCTTAACCAACTAGCCATCTCTTCTATTCCCCTGTGGTTTTATCTTGTCCAGAAGTTGAATGGCTTGTTGGACTTAAAAGTGTTCCACATTGTTTCCAGCGGGCATTCAGTAAGCATGTAATATAACTGAGGCGAGCCCAGTTCCTCTGCCTGGAGGTGGGGGTATTCTCCCTCCCTTCATTTAAGGAAGCCCTGCTCCTCAGTGAATAGTCACTTTTCACTGGCATAGTACATGTTCCTGTAACTAACCCAGACAGAAAACCCATTCCTATGGTTTTTGTCAGGATCCTAATACCTCAAAAGACAACAGACATAACTGTAAATCCAAACCAGCCACTGAGGATGTAATGCTCGAGGCACAATTACTGGCAACTGAAGAAAACTCAAGACACGCACAGTAGATTGGAAATCAATGGTCAGATTCTGCCTGCTTTCAAGAGATACTTGAGCTCTTCCTGGTATCTCATCAGGCCACAGGTTTCTCCTGAAGCAACCCAATTTGGCCTGATTTCCATATGATGCCTGCATGCTGCCTGTGACCTGCTTCCTGAGCAAAGAATGGGCAGGACCAGCTGAAGCTTGTGCATGAGAAACAGCTGGACTATATTCTCTCTCCCCTTGGCCCCACTTTTTAGAAACTAGGTTGCTTTCCTCCTAGAACGAGACCCTCCCTCAGCGTTCTGTAGGGCACTGCTGTTTAGGAGTCTATCATTCTACAGTGAGGGCCAGAGGGAGCCACCCAACAAAAACAATGGTAGCTTCAGGCCTGGCTGTGGTGGCCTGTGCTTCATATCACCATGTAGCTCTAAATTATTATATTTCTGAACCAGTGAAATGGAGAAAATACTCATCTAATCTGAATCTTTCAGTGGCTGCAGATGATGAGTTTAACATCTGAGGGGATAATGAAGGAAATCAGTTCTGAATGGTTTTATATTTTCAGAATTACCTCTGCATAATTTGGATCATTGTGTGTGCATATGAAAATAGGGATATAAAAAAGTGCCTTGAAGTCATGTAAAAACTATTCCAAAAGCTCCAGTGTGATTGAGAAGGGTAGACTTGCATTTACAAAAAGCATGAAGCACATGAAAGAAAGAAATCGTTAACATTAATCTGATCTGATCTTAATGAGAAAAGGCACTTTATTAACTTCAAGCTTTGCTTGTGAAGTCTTGTGCTGACCTAGCTGTGCTTGATGAACACTTCAAATCTGTTATCAAAGTCATGTGACACAGGTGTGGGCTAGCTGTGACCCCAGAACTTTCACTAGCCCTTCCCCTTTCTACCAGGATTCTTGCAGCTATGAATGATGGCTGGTACTGCTCACTCCTCTTGGTACTGTTTACATAGTGGCATTTTTATTTACATATCGCAGTGCTCTGCTGTCAGTAAAATCTTTCCATATATTACCCTACCCCAAGGTTGTGCTTTCATACTTCTCTGTAGACTAAGAAATGAGGGCATAGCTGGGAGTGGTGATGCACACCTGTTATCCCAGCACTCTGGGGGACAGAGGCAGGTAGATCTCTGTAAGTTCGAGACTAGCATGGTCTACAAAGCAAGTCCAGGATAGCCAAGGCTACACAGAGAAAACCTGTCTTGAAAAAACAAACAAACAAACAAAAAAGAAAAAAAAAGAAATGGGACATTATAGAGTTTAAAAAGGTGAAGTGACTTGGCCAGCATCCCAAATATAAGGGCCTAGTCAAAAACAAAAGGTTAGTCACTTTAAATCTAGTGTTGCTCACTAGAATGCACGGTGTTCTTCCACACAGCATTGGTGGAGGACACTAGTCTCAAGGCCATTTTATGAGTTATGTTGTTGGATTTTGCTTTACTCCACAATTCCCAGACCACATTCTGTTTGTGTACAGTTAAGCATTAGCTTTTTCCAAGAGGCAGCAGGGTCTAGGGCACATGACCGAGCATCTGGAGGTGTTGGGAATGATGATGTTGTCTTCTCACAGCTCTTCTGTTACTGTTGTCTGTGACATTTCTCCAAAAAGCAGAATAGATCTATTGCTAATGGAAGAGGGGACACAAATTCCTACAGAGAAGTTCCTAGGTCTTGGCTCAACCCATCAGCAACTGGAGGACCTGAGTTTAGTATTACCTTATCAGCAGCAAAGGTTCAGGCTTCAGATTTCTAAAAACAGTCACATGCGGAGTGCATTAAAGCAAAGTAAAGAGTGACAATTCTGTCACATAACCAAGTCACTGCTTAGTCTTTGCAGTGCTCAAGGATGGACTCAGGGTCTCACACATGCAAGGCAAGAGCTCTACCACTCAGCTGTATCCTTTCTGATACAAAAACACTCAAATTTATCAAATGACTCGATATTGTCTGTACTGATTTCTAAGCTCCCTTCATGCTTAAGGGGTGGAACTGATGATTATCAATGAGATAAGGCTTGTCTTCCCCATGATCAGCGGTACCTCTACCACCAATCTTCTCTATGTCAAGTGGTTTGGAACAGTGCTGACCTTGATAATGATGTCAGAAGCAGTCAGGAAGGCTGGGCCAGGACTCCAACAGAAGGACAGTAACACTGCAATACTGTAGAGGATTAAATGTAGAGCTCTGGTGACCTCTCTGAGGCAGCTTCTGAAGTTTTATTACCAACAGACTTACTTCATATTTTGAGGTAGATGTCCTCAGAGTATACAAAATCCCGGACTAATTTTCCTTAGAGACTGTATGCAATGCTCCTATTCAAGTTTGAATACCAAGATCTAACCACATAGTAGGTATCTATACTTCTTGATGGGATCACAATTACAAAGGGAAAAAGCACACCAATAATTTAGTCTTTTTTCTTTACTTCATACAAAGGATTTGCTGTGAGTCTACAAGTCATCTTGTCCAATCCAAAAGCTGTATTTAAGCGCCGTGGATCCCAGCCAGGGATGCAAGAATCTGACTTTCTAAAGCAGATAACAACAGTTGAAGAACTGGAGCCAAAGGCTAGTAACTGCACCAAGGTACTTATTCATCTCCCTCACGCTGCTGCTGGAGCTTGAGTGTTGACAATGCGGCTGCTTAAATGATCCTTTTCCTCCGTAGGTTCTCGTGTGGCACACTCGGACAGAAAAGGTTAATCTAGCCAATGAGCCAAAGTACCACCTGGACACAGTGAACATTGAGGTATAGACACCAAGACCAGCAGGTGCAGAGGAGGAAGTCTAGAGTTTAGGCGGCTGCTCATTCAGGTACTATTCCTTTTTTCTTCAGCCTCACCTGTCAGCCAATGGACATCTGTTTGTAAACAGCTAACTGGATGTGACAAAACGTGTTGTCTTCATTTGTTCTGCATGTTTTAGCTAACCCTTAACTGGGAAGACTTTTGTACCCTGAAGCAAACAACACTGAAAAAGAACATCTGAGTATCTCATGTACTGCTCCCTCCCTCACATCAAGCCATCCCATAACTGAAATAGGTTTTATAGAATGTGATGGAATATTCTGTCAACTAAATATTCACAATTCTTGGCTGTGCAACATGAAATTATTTGGAAAGCTGGTGGTAGTGTACACTGTAGGAAATAAAACCCACAAATAAAAAAAAAAAGTGTGTGGATTCATCTGTTTAATATAGGGAAATAACATTTTGTCAATACTAGGCACCATAAAATGTAAACACAATTACTGTCATAAACCTGGATATACCTTCAAGGATTAAAAGTGGCTTTTAGTTACCCTGTGTGCATATAGTGCAGAAAAAGGTCTTCATATTAGCACTATGTATATGAGAAGAGGTCCAAATTATAAGAGGCAGCAAACATTTGAATTCTTGAAACATTCATTAAATTGTTTACAGTAACATCCAGGTTTATCTTCCTTTCACTAACCACAGTCCCTGTTAAGCACATCATAACAACAGCACAGTGAAGTGAGTGATGAATAAAAGAATTTGATACACTAGAAAACAGTGCTCAGTGATACATTTACATTCTATTTATATGATTAAACATTTGATCATACAGTACCTTCCTACAGGATTACTGGCTAATTTGGGGGTCGGGTTTATACTGTTAGAGGTATTACTAACATGATAACTACTTCCCTTATGTGCAAACATTAGAGCTATAATTTTGAGAATAAAACCGATTATGCAAGTTAACTGAGCAGCCTCTCAATGTGGCTTATGACATTATGGGAAATAAGAGCAAAGCTGCCCTCCACAGAAGATGGTTTCTCAGCCTGCTTTCACATCAAATTTAATCAGCACAGACCAACACGGTCAATCAGGTAATTCTTAATGTGAACAAATGGGGGAAAAGAAAAAAAATATGTATGTACAGGAATAAATGGGAACTAGATGCCTTTGTATCGAGGAATGTTGGGTGTCGGTTCTGGATGAACTGTTGCAGCTTCTCACTTCCACAGCTGTGTGCTCAGAGTCTGCCCCGAGGAGCTTCCAGACCACCCTGCTGTTGTGCTGGGGGGCTGGCCAAAACCTGCGGCAGGGTTTGCACCACTGAGGCTCATGCCAGCCATTTGCTGATTCATCTGTGAAACACACGAAAGGCTTAGTTTACGAGGATTATTCACTTTTCCTTCTTGATTCTTTAGCTACAGTCAGACATTTCATCATTGATGTGAAAATTAGTCAAAGCACAGCAGACCACAGAGAAGCATCTCTATTGATATCAAACTGATACTTTGTTCCTCTCTTTTCCCCTGGGGCTTAGCACTGCTAATAAAGTAATCTTTATCCCAAAGACTAACCACAACTGAAGAAAATATCAAAGTAATCATTCAATTTCTGAGTATAGGAGTCCATCACTCTCTCAACCATAGTAGGGTATTTCTTCTGGGACTCCCAAGGACTGAAAGAGCTTAAAAGTAAAACATCCTAAATTACCCTAACATTTACAAAATACCTGTGATTCTCTATTTGTATCTTCAATGGCTTCCAAATACTTTCTAAACATTAAAAAGGTCATATAGCATGGGTTTGGGGCTGTAACAACATAAACAGTTAAAATTAAACTTCACTATACGCTATAAAATAACAGAATTTCATGTACTTTTCTTCCAGGCTAGAGTCCAACATATTTATCAGCCTCTTAGTCCAGAGTTCTTTCCCTCCCAAGGCTGGTCACAGAGCAGCAGAGGCAGGATTTACCATAACAGAGTTCCAAGTCTATGCTCAGCATTAACTGTGTCATTTCACAGGTTTTTTGCTTTTTGAAAATCCAAGACACAATAACCACCTCAGTGCTCAAACGTGCCTATAGGCAGGTCACTTCTTCCCTTCTGCTCACAAATATTCTCCTGGCCTTGCTGACAGGGATGCTCTCCTCACTGGCTCACCTGTAATTTAAACCAAGCCGAGTGAGCCTCAGTATCCTGGCCACAGAAAACTGTTACTAACATCTGGCACTTAAATTTTTTGAGGTTTCCAGTGCTTAAACATTGTGCTACATGTATTTCTATAAACCGTAACTGTAAGGGAAAAAGAGCTCATGATCACTTGTAAGATATATGGTGATCTTGTAATGTTAGTTAGAAGTCAATATTCTGAAGGCAAACTACTGGCCGTAGTGGTCTTGGTTCCTATAAGCTGCTCTGTGGACCATGAACACTAGGCCAGAGCCCCTCTCTCTGCTACAGCAAAGTCAGATAGCACTTACTTACTAAGAAATGTTACTCCTTCCTTTAACCTGACCCAGACAGACATGAAGTTTATCAGTGAAAACCTGAGGTAAGCAGGGTTTCTATTCATATTATAGAGATTCTTGAGCCAATGGATGTTGCGCATAAGTAAACAGCAGTAACCACAGACAGAGGCAGCCTTGATTCTTCATAAAACTCTGCTTTGAGAATATGAAGTTGCATTTCTTATTGTTAAGCTTGGATTTTATTTTTGTTGTTAACTCTTATCAATGAAGGAAGCATGTTCTAAGTGGACTATTAGAAGACCCCACCCAAGAGTAAAGCATGGCACTAAGCCTTACAGGTGGGCAGCTGAGGTGTCACTTATATGCTGCCCATGATAACATCTAGCCAGTACAGGCATGTTCCCCATCACAACTATGTTACACTCTGCAATGGTAAAAGGAACATCGTAACATTTACTCACAGAATACTCTTAAAAATAAGAACAGGAACAAGTCATTTATCTAGCTGATAAAACCTCATGACATCTGTAAACACTTGGATCTGATCTAACTTATCCCTATTCAGTTCTGCTCCATCACCGGATTTTAAAGCAAATAAAACTACCGAGAATATAAACATGGTTTCTTGAATTTTTAACATGGTAGAAAGTACATGAGTCCTACCTGTGAGAGGTTCCACTGAGGCTGCTGAGGTTGTGGCAGGCCGAACTTACTCTGTGGTGCACCCATTTGTCCCACCATTCCTCCCTGAGGGCCAACAACATTCTGAGGAAGTGGCATCACTCCAGTCTGTGTGTTTCCCATAAACCCGTTGGGCATGGGCATGCCCACCATCATGCTTGTATTCTGTCCCATCATATTTCCCATAAGGCCAGGAGCCGCAGGCACCGGTACACCCATGGATGGAAAACCTTGAAATGCAGTCGCTGCTTGTGAGGTAAATGGTATATTTGTCGGTCCCATAAACACACCTGTATTTTAAGAACCATGAAAAAAAAGAAAAGAAAAACAGATCAAGAAGAGGCTCTTGTATATGGCTGCACTCCTCTCCAGATACAGAAAAAGGCAACTTCCTGACCCTCCAATGAGACAGCTCAAAACAACCTACACTCAACCTTCAGAGCCTGCTATTTCCAGACTTCGGACAGATGTACGGTCGGTCTACTGCAAACATGCGCAGTCTGAGAGTTCGTGCTGCCCCTGCTGACTTGCACCACTGCTCTCCCAAGAGCCAAACCAGGCAGGGAGAAAAGTGGTTATTTGCTTTAACAAGGAAGTAGGTGGGTGGCCACTCACTTTCAGTCTAGATATGAAATGAGCTTATTTTGGAGGAAAAAGTCCAACAGATTAAAACTGAATGAATCATATATTTCCACTAAATGAAAGGTATTTCCAAGTTTTGCATAATTATGTATGTATGTATAGTTTTGACTGTTTATTTGTTTACTTGCAGAGGAAATGGAGTGTATACAAAGTCAAACTTCATGTAAATCAAATTCAAGCAATTCCTGAAAGATAATTCCTGTCCTATTAACTTGGAGAACAATATTAAGTGATATGTGAACAACTTGTTAAGTCTCAATTGAATAAAGTCCTGTGAATCCCATACTCTTTCATCCTAATGCTTCATTCATTTTAGTTATGTAAACTGCAAGAGAAACATCCACTGCTACCAAAGGAAAATGTAATTGGTATTAGTGTAACACTATTGTCATTCTTTGGAACCAGAGCTCAACATCAATTACCAGCAGTGCTTTGCTGTGCTCCTGTACCATACAGAGATAAGATGGAGTCTTTGGAGAGTTGTTTCTTTGCTACTTCTTCTGACTTTGTAGTTTGCTCAAACAGATCCAGATCCCCGGATGTTACGGTAGACATGGTAGCAGCTGCTGGTACAGAGGCTGTCCCCTAGGCAAAACACCAAAATAAACAGTTTTTACATAGCACAACTTATCTGTTACCAACATTCACATAAAATTATGAAATTGGGAGTAAATTATAAGAGGAAAAATGGTGACATGTATGAAGATCATTTTTGAACCTAGAGAAGAGCACCTAGAATGAAGGTGCAAAGTTTCGTACTGTGACCTGTTAGTGTAAACCAAGGAGACTGAAGCTCTTCCAGAGCTGCATTCAATAGCAAGGACAAGGCAGTTTTTACTCCTTACATCTTGAACACAATGGGTGTGGCATCAAGCAGGTACAGTCTAAATAATGCTACCACTTCTCTCAAAATCTAGTGTCACTTGGAATAAAGACTCTTACAACTTGGAGAAGCAAAAGGTTCTGTAATGGTGGATTAAAAGCTTTCACATATTCAAAAGCTACACCATCAAACATTTATAAATCTATTCTAGGTCTAATTTTAACACTACTAGAATACTTCTAATCCAAAACTGAAGTACAAAAAGCTTTTGGCTACCTATATTCAGCCATATCCTGCACGCTGTTCACAGGCAAAACAATACAAGTAATTTAGATATTTAATACAAAACAAGTTTCCATTAATCTACTGAATCTTACACA